TCTTCGTTTCTCGCAACTTGTATTTGGGGTTGTAGGTTTACTTGTATTCCAAATGTGCAAAGAGTTTTATTTGAAAGTACTTGTATTTCTGAAAAAAAACAACATTAATTTAAAAAGATTAATCTAAAAGATATCACAAGTGATATCACAAGAGGCATTTATATGCAGTGCATACTGTGAGAAACCTTAAACCTTAAACCCTAACAATGTGAACAATAATTGAATGAAAAAACAGTATCAGAACACTAAACAAAAATCTGACAAGTTGGATGAGTAACATCAAACTATATATTGACTTCTTTTCCTATCTTGTCAGTAAAAATAAAATCAAAAGTGGAAAGAAAAGGGAAAAAACCCACAGAGTTATCAGAACAAATAAAGGCTCTGTTCATCCTGCCTCAGCACAAAAGAACACAGGAAATGTCAGAATAGGAGAGTCAGTTTTGACCCATTGCAACCAATATCTTGCTTTCTAATACTTCATGCTGCTTCAAAGGAAATACTCCATGGCATTCTCCTTCACTGTACAAACAATGTGATGGAGAGATGAGGAAATTCCTCTGTGAGTGCAGACAGCCATCCATTTTAACCCCAAATCATGAGGCTGCTTGTGAAATTTCAATTTTTATTCTTGTCAGTGCAAGTTACTAAAACTTTTGAGGCACAATAAACTACCTGCCTTAAGAATGTCCCAATACTAGTAAATGAGAGTGGCTAAAAATTTTTTGTATATATATGACACAATCAAATTGATAAAGACCATCAGTTCATTTCAGAGGCAAAACCCTCTGCAGCACTGAGACTAGTGTGGAGATGGTTTCATTCTGAGAATAGCATGAAGATGGTTTTGTTCCAGACTGAAAACACGATCATCCGATTTACAATAGATAATGTGCTGAGTGCATAATACAAAAAATGTAGAATGATTTCTTAAGAAATCATTGGCACCTTAATTGTGTTATAAAAATCAATAGTTTATCATGTAATGGATTTACTGGACAGAGAAGAGTGGTTATGCTATTTAAAGTTCCCACCAGTCATCCAGAGGCTGTTTTCCTTTAATCCTCTTCAAAAATTCTCTGAATCAAAGAAGCATGAACAAACTATAAAAGATATTAGACAAAATCTCCCTCTACACTGCAAAGCTGAAATGAAACAACCAATAGATTGGTATAGTTTGGGGTGTTTGAAGACTGTAACTTCTGTAAAGCACAATAGGAGGTGCAAAGAGAACATTTCTCACTTTAACGTGACTTGCCTAACTTAAGCACAGGTTGCTTCCATACTGTAGAAAACCATGGCAGGTTTTCACTTTTCCTGTATACTTTCCTTATTCTTACACAGCTTCAGTGAACTACTCTGAAGGAAAAAAGGCCATTAACACATATACTGCATAAAGCTGAGGGGTCTTTCAGTTAAAGAAATTTACTGCCTTTCTTCAGATGTTACATTTATTTTATCTGTAAACAGATACCAGTTGCCCCAAATTAAACCAAACACAGTGAAAAAAGGGGCACAAATTAATACTCTTTTTAGCTCTGTGCTGGTTATCTTTCTATATCCATGAATGCTGGATAACTAGTTAGGCATCCTCATTAAATACTTATCTTCATGATTTCAAGGGTTTGAATGCCTGCTCTGAACTGAAATGTGGCCAACTGGTCACATGGTTGGATTCCTGTAAAGCCTGACAGGACATAAGCAGTCAATTTTCCAGTTTTGAGTATTACTCTCTGAGGACTCAATGCTTTCTGGAATGGTGCAATACATTTATTTTATGGAAAGACTATGATTTTTTTCATGCTCTGTGAACAGAATTAGTGATAGAGGGTTGTCTTTGCTCTCAGCTGTCCACTGTCCACTGTGGTGTAAAGAACAGACAGGTGCAGAAGGAATGTCCCCACAGCTTTCCCATCCCTGCTGCAGCTGTGTCCATCCCCTTAACAGTTCCTTTGACCACGGCCCTCCCTGGAGTCCCCTTTTATCAGGACTGCATATCAGTGAAAGGAAACTTAGTGAAAGTCCAATCTTGGAAGTACACACCACAGAAATTGGCCCAACTGTGTTTTGTTGTAACTATCTACAATCCTCAAATAAGGATTTTTACAGAATCTCTGTTGATGGAGCTTAGGAAAATAGGTTGTGAACCTATTCTCAAGTTTAGCATATTTACCCAAGAACTGCCTTCTCCAAATTGCTGTGTTTTCTGAATCAAAGGTATTATTCCATCCTTAAAAGAAAAGCCTTAAGCTGGTGAAGAGATTATATTCATCTCTCACAGAAATTATTTTGTTCTAGGATATCAAAGAGACAGTCAGAATAACTAATGAATTTCACTTTTTTTTTTTTTTGAACAGCATTTACATCAGAAGCCCAAGGTACAAATGAAAATGAGACAAAATTCAGAGTGTACATGGCTGAAGGAGGAACCATTCTACTGGAAATTGTTCAGACATCCACAAAGAGTAATGGATACAATGGTGACCATGCAGTTAAATTACTCTGCATGATGAAATCTAGGCAAACAAACTTAGGAAGGCTGAGGAGTAATGTGCAAAGGGTATGGAGGCTGGCCTGGCACTGGAGCAATGCCTCAGCTCCATGGCAGCTGTTACCAAGTGAAGACTAAGCAAGCAGCAATAACATCATGTCTCCCCTCCCTGCACGTCAAGAATTGCAGGAAGGGACTACAGAACATTTCATAGGATGCCTGGGTGTCTTCTCTTAGCTTAACTAGTATTTATAATTTATATAGATCTCAAGACATAACATGGCATTTTACAAAATACAGTGTGAACTAGAAAGACAAAAGATCTCCAGACTACATGAACTGTCAGTCTAAAAAAGCACAAACAAAACTCATTCAGAACAATATGGCACAGAACAGACTGGCAAATGGTCATTAGAGCTGAAATGGAGCTTTACACAGAGGGAAGGGAGGCCCCTTCCCATATATCAACTGGCAGGCTGCTCCAAGTGTGAGCAATAGTACAAAAAGAGGCAAAGTCAGGAAAGGATGAAGGAAATTACAGAACCACTCCTATGGATACAAACCCAAGCTATGTCAGTGGGGGTCCTTTAAAAATGGCTGGGTTTAATATCACACATCAGATATCTAGTGCACATTGAATACTCTCCTAAATTAAATCAATTCAGTTCCCAGCATGATGCTACTAACTTCCCAGTATTTTAATTTAAGACAGGGGACCTAACCACACCTTACGCCTAAAGCATTTACAACAAGAAGGGATGTCCATATGTTCCATTTTCCTAGTCCAAGACACAGTAAAAGCCTCTTCACTGAAAGACATTGTAACATGTAAGGGGTGAAAATAAATGTGAGTTCTCACAGTTTTCCCCAAATTATTACCCATACACTTGCTGAACACTCACTGCAGAGCAGCCTCAAATATTTAACCAAAGAAAAGTACATAACCCAGCAGCTCAGGTACTAACAGCAGCTGATATACAGATATAATCTTAAAGAAGTCATTATAACAAATGTCTTGATTGTCTCATTATATTATTTTTACAGTGTTTCCCACATTGCCATAATTCCAAAACAGACCTTGGAAGTACAATGTGCTCAGGCTGTGGATGGACCCAATTTAATGACACCAAGTTCCTTGCTAGTAATATATTACCTGCTATTTTTTAGTCACATGATATGGATTTTTTTCAGTAAAACTGGAAGAAACAGGGGGAAAAAAATCCCCCTCAGCATATGTCTAAAACCAGTTTCCCGTGGCAGCTGGCAAAGGGGGCTTGGGCAGCCCAGCTTTGCCCCAAGCAGGCAAGTAGCTGCTGACATATGTTACACTCACAGCTGGCTGCTTCATGTACCTTTATAATTTTAGGCTCTTCAGCCTGAGTCTCAACTTTTAACTGGAATTTCCAAACTACTCGAGCCTTAGCATAACTCCTGTCACAAATGATTCAGGCTTTTCAGATACAGCATTGAGTGTAATGAATTTCAAGATGACTTCAGGTTAAACTGTATGTAATGAACTATGTAGTTTCTGTTGGCTACAGAATTCCACTATAGCTTTTTAAGCTTTCTCTTGCTATCATCATCTCTCTTTTGTCCTTGCTCTATTAACTGTTTTTATTTAATAACCCGTAGCTCTGTTTTAGTATTATTGTTTTCCTTATCTCCAGGACCCAAGAACTCTACTCAGTGTAATCCAGTGTATGATAAAACTACACTGGATGTGATTTCTTAGAAAATCCCAAGGTAAAATGAGAAAGCTAAATACATCTTATAATTGATTTAACTCATTCCCTTCCTTGGCAAAACCAGGACAGTACCTTTCAGGGGGAAAAGCGAGGAAGGTGAGCAGTGTGATGTGGCCTGAGCACAGCAGGGTCCCATTGGTGGCTCGGCCCTTTCAGTTCCTGTATTTCATCACACCGTGATGGGTTACAAGGGTCTTAATAATTGTTCTTTGTAGAAACATTAAGACACACTTCGAGGAAGAAAATTCCACTACTTTTCTGTAAAAAGGCTACAAAGTTTCATGAAGAAACGCTGTGATCAAAAAAGCAGTCACTTCAAGGGAAGATCTCCTTTGACTAATATCTCATTATAAAGCCCAGGATCAAATTGGTTCCCCCATAACCTTCTTCCCAGAGGTTTTTGAAGCCATCAGGAGGTGTTTGCTTGTTCTTGCCAGTGGTGTTAAAACTAATGGGGCTGTCCTTCTCCTTTCCTTCTCTCGGAGAAAAACGCCAGACCCGCAAGGCCATTCTAATTCCCTAAAAACCAAGGACTTTGATGTGGCTGCTCTAGCTCATCCCTCATCTTCCTGAAGGTGGAAAAAAAAATAATAAAAAAATTAAGGCTTAAAGAGCAAATGGCGAATGTATTTCACGAGTTTTGATGTAAGCAAGATTTGTTGACTGAGTTGAGACAGTCCGTGGGTGACACACAGCGTCACTTCACACAGCCAGCCTCGGGACACCCGTGCGGGCTCTGTGACAGCCTCGGCCGGGTGTCCGTCACTTGGTGCGGGGCAGGGACCCGCGGGCACCGCAGCCTGTGCCTGAACCCGAGCCTGTGAGACTCCCCCGCGTCCCCCGAAAAGCCGCCGCCGGTGGAACCCGAGCAGGTACCGGCCAAGAGAGCCCGGCCCCGAGTGACCGCCCCGCCCGCGCCGCCATGTTCAACGGCCCCGCCGCCCTCGGCCAGGTGAGACCCGGCGGGGCCGCATCTCCCCGGGACGAGCGGCCCCGGCCCCATGGGGAGAGCCCAGGCCCCGACCCCTGGTTCCGACCCAGGCCCCGACCCCTGGTTCCGATTCCGGCCCCGACCCCCGACCTCCGAGCCCCAGCCTCGACCTCGTATCCCCGGCGGAGGGGCGGGAGGAGGTGGGACGCGGGTCCGCGGGGCTGCGGGTCGTGGGTCTTAACTAGCGCCAAAGCGTTTTGCGCCCGAATTTTTGTAAAAGTGAAAATCTCGATTTTTAATTTGTTTTATTTAATTTTCGTGTTGTGTGTAAAGGCTGCGCAGCTTCGCGCCTAGGAGCGCCAGTACTCCTGCTACACCTTATTAATGGTCTTCCCGCTCATTTATTATGCTAACTTGTGTTTTGAGAAAATATATAGCGGTGTTACCAACTCAGCTTTAAATATTCAATATATGGGATTCATTTGTCTGGGAGATACTAAAACCCTTCATCAGTGATGAAGTGCTTTTCCCGGTGTGTCCCAGCCACCATAAATCAGTGCTGGCTTTGGGCCCGTGATGGTGAGTTATATGTATTAGCAGTCTTGGGTCTAAGCCTGTGTGCCCTGCCAAAAATAGTGTATCCATGTCATTTTTCAATGCAAATTAGTAGTAAGTGCAAATTCACTTTATTTTGCTTCACAGTTTTGACTCTGGAATAGAAAAACTTAAATAAACACAGCTTTTTCAACTCTGGGATATTGACCAGAAACTTGTATTCCTATACTTATGTAAATAGTCCGTTTAAGTCAAGGGACTAACCATGTCCATGAAGGGTTTTAGGTCTGTGTAAGTCTGTCCATCCTTGTCTCTCCTGGAATTAGAGCAGTGCTTAGTCTTAATTAGCTTAAGGAAGGATGAAGATCTGTTTGCATTTGCTGTTTGTGAAATACTCTTTTGCTTGTAACTTTCTAGGGACCAATTGTTGGAATTGCAGTACTACATAAACACCAACTATTATTCACTTGCATGTAAACATTCTAGTGTGAAATATACATAAGAAGCTGTTATAGAATGGAGGCGTTTTTGCAGAGTCCTAAGTGGCTTGTGTGAATGGATGTGATAGGGGGCATTTTGGACTGCTGCAACTTTATTTTCAATGTAGGAAACACTGTGAAACTAAAGATCAAAGTCACTGCACAAGTGAAGACATCACAAGGTAAATACTGGTAGGAATCTATTCTTCAAAGATAAATATCCTTCATTGTTGCTTAACTTTATAAATTACATTCTTGATTGTTTGTCATTGACTGACACTTTAAGCCTGTATTTCCAATTGGACAGAGGTACTAAAATACATGGTTCAGGGCAATAAAAGATAAGTTAGATCTGTGACTGAAAAATGAGAGAACTGCTAGTTTATGGCATTCTGTAAAGATGTCATAAAATATCTATTTATTTGACAATGCAAAAAATTGAGGACTTGCATTCTAAGTTGCTCTTGTTTTTTCTCAAATAGTCCTTCTGGATTTTAAGTACTCTTGGTTTTTAGAATTTCTGGAGAGATTGGGAAGAGGAAAGATGAAAAGAGGAAAAATATTGCAACTACCAAATTTCCAGACCATTTTCACTTTTGTTTTTAATCATAGGTTACTATAATTGAAGACAATGCTACTTGATGCATAATGAAAGTAATATCTCAGTAATTAAATGACAAATACATCATTCACTTAATGTCTTTTGTAGCTACCACTCTTAATAGCAAAGGTAATTTCCAGTCTTCATTTTTAGTATTTTAATGGAAATTGAGAAGTTATATGAGCAAAAATGTATTGCAATGTCACTTGCAGTATTTTTGCCTTTGTGAAAAACAAACTGACATTTCACTGAAGTGTTTACAGTAATCAGCTTTGTAGTATGAATGAGTTGTCCAAACACAAATGCTTACAAACTTTGGGTCTAGTTTACCTTTCACTGAAGTTAGGAAGAGCCATCTGGTTATGAATTTGATAGCTACAACAGTCATCAATTTTCTGAGTCTGTGTAAAATCTGTTCTGCAAATTAGCAAATAACCTGGCTTGCCCATATGTGTATCAGTTTAAAACACAACTTCGTTGGTGAAAAATTTTAAGCCATATTGTAAGAGTAAACTTTATTTGACAATATGAAGTTTGGAGATTTCTGGTGATGATATGATCTTTCAAGTCACTCAGTAAGTGTTCATCATCCCCCGGGTTTTGTATTTCTCTTTTCTACCACATACTTCCTAGATATTATCTCTTCATATATATCTCTACCCTCTCCATGTGTATATCTCTCTGTATTGTGATACAATATGAAAGTCTTTAATTATTTGGTCATCTTTTCTGTCTTAAGCATAGCATTTGAATGAGAGCTTTTCAGTTCAGATGTATGTTTCCTCTACTTGAACTTAAGGATTAATTAGTAGCACAAGCTTTTTGCATGATATAGGTGTGTGCCTTCATGGAGTTTTACCAGTGCACGTGTGTTCTTTCCGTGCTCAGAGCCAAGTGAGAACTACTTCCACACAATGCAGCGTGGAGATAAATGAGTGATGTCAAGCCAAAGCTAATAAGCACTACTGAGAGGCAAAGCATGTTAGCACTGTGTTGAACCCAAGTTAATATATCAAGATGGCTTCCAGAGCTGTTTTCATCTTCCTTCAAAAATCTGTGGGATTTGCCAGTAGTGGACTGCCTCTTATGGAAGCCACTTGTACTGTATGAGAAAACAGTAAAGAAAACGAGGTATTAGTTTCTATGTCTCAAGTACAAATCTGTCTTCAGCAGTGTCTGCAAATGCTGTAGCTGTCCACTTGCTAAGTAGCTGTTCCCTCCTTAAAGATGGTGTGGTATTGAAGATGAAACTTGACCTCTACGTACTGCACCCTAAATGTTTGTTCCAAAATATAAAATATAATTAAACAGACTTTTCACCGGAATATTAGTATTAGTCCTTGAAAGAGGTGAGTTATTCTTTTCAGTCTCAAATAAAACTTTTTATACAGTGACTCTTAAATCAGGATTTTTCACACTTGTTTAGTCCTGATATTTTCCCCTCAGATGTTATAACGCGTAACAGAAGTTCAGAGTATGTGAGGGCCGTGCCAGGTGCATGATGCCTGGAAAACGTGGGACTGATTTTTAAAGCAAAAATAATTTCAAGTGCTTTGCCCTAAGGAAAAAGCAGTGTATTCCTTTGCATCTCCTTTGTTTAAAATTAATTATAAATTAAAAATGGGCGATGGCAAAATCCTTAATCCCAGAATGACAAGTGCCCCACCACGTGAGTTAGTGATACACCTGTTGTAAATATGTCCCGAAGGAGGGCTTGGCTTCTACCTCTGTTTTAGTACAGGTCCTTCACATTTTGCTCTGGTAAAGGGAATTAAAACAGTAGGTCACTCTGAGATGAGTTTCATGGTGCCACTACTTCTCACTCAGACAGGAATCATGCAATTTTGAGTAGTTCTGGCTTGCTTAAGGGTTGTAGATAATAGCAAAGATTAGAAAAGTGACAGCTGCATACAGAAAAGTGAACAGTGATTTCAGAAATAATTGCTCTGTATATAAAGAGAATATATAGAGAGAAGGAAGAAATAAAGCACTTGCTTTAGAAGTGCTTTCTTTAAAAGGTATTTCTAAAATATCTAGTTCATAGTTGAGTAGTTCAATATAACTGTTAATGTAGTAATATAAAAAACCAAACAAACAAATTATGCCAACTAAACAAGTGAAAAAATTGTATAGAAACTGGTCTAAAATGCAGAGTAATGAAATGGGTGAGTTAGATGTACAGAGACAGTATTGCTTTAATACGATCAAAATACTAATTATGGGTTTTGATGGGCCTGTTACAAATACTGTGGTTGCTAAATTTAATTTTCCTTAGAATCAAAAAGTTTAAAATAAAGTAATATTTCTGGCAGCAGAATGGGATAAATTTATAGTATCTGATTATTTTTACATTTTTATTTTATTTACAGACAACTTTCAGACTTAATTGTTGCTGATTAAAATAGTTGTGGATAAACATCAATAGATTTCATCATGTTTTCATAAATGAATTATTATTTACTCTTTCAAATCAAATGCTGCTCTAATACCTTAAATGAGTACATTCTTTATGAACTCATATATATTGTCACTGAATTTCTAGTTCATTTGCAGGCATATATATTTTTATAAATTTCCCTTGAAGTTTGTCACTTTCTGATTGTGAGAACTAAACTGTTCATTAGAGAAGCTATACTTACAGTCTCCTGGTCAGCATATTATTTCTGTCTGTTAAGAAGCTGGTTTCAGTCTCAAAAAAATACCCGTAATTAAAAAAAAAATTAATTCTTAAGTCATCTGTGCCTGAACTGGAGCAACGAACAGGAAGAAAGTATATCAAATAAAAGTGAGGCACAGTCTTGTGAAAGGATTTTTCTGTGGGCTGAGGAGCACTTTCAGTTTTCAGTGAAGGTGTGTGTTGTCTCTTGTGACTGATTCTGTCTCTGGAGATTGACAACTCCCTTTTATGTTCAGGGTCTCTTCACTTTCTGTTGACTTCAGCTGAGCCTGCAGACACTCAGCACGATCAAAGGGGAATGTGGGAGGCTTCCAGTATCAGTCTCTTCACTTTTGACTGTTCTGATTCTCTAACTGCAGACATCTCTTAATTCACAGTCACTTTAACAGCCCTCAAATAACTGAAGTGCTTGGTTTGAGTCTTACACTAATAACCCTCGAAGAAGAATGTTGAGAGTGAAGGAAGATAACTTGTCTCAGAAGTCTCTGCCAAATATTTCTAGATGGAGAGGTCTCTATTGCAGCCATTCTATATACTTGATGAATAAAGAGAATATTTTCCGAGACAGTGTCAATATTAATATTATTTTGGTCTTAATTCTTTTGTGTTAGCCCTCTGATGCAGTTGATATACATTTATACTCAGAAAAATACTTCATAATAGTATTCATATCTTTTAAAATATGGTTGGAGTTTCATTTTAGGATTGTTTTCATGTCAAATCCTGTATTTGTTGTCCTAACATTGTTTGTTTGTTTGTTTTGTAGCATAGTTTGTAAGTGTCTTTACTGGTTGAGAAGCTAAAATTATTTTCTGCCTGTGAAACGTGGAAAAATGTTCAAAAATCATTATCAGGTAAAACAGAAATAATTTTATTTTTTACCCATTTTCATTTCACCTCTGAGAAAGCTCAATTAAAATAGCTTATTCTGGGAGGCAAAAAGTCCAGCTGCAGAAATGTTTTGGAGTGTTTCATTATTCAGTATTTATATAGAAATTTCATGAAATAGTGGATAGCTGCTGATGCTGTCAGGTCTAGAATAGGCACCAACATGTTTTTGCCAATGTCTTTACTCTTATAGGCCAGAGAAGGCACAGCCTCTGCTTCCAGCTGGTCATGGAAGCAGTCCCAGCTCTTGAGGTACAGTCAGAAAAGGGGGTTGGTTTATTTTCTTGGTCCAGCACGAGGTTGTGACAACACTAGTCACACTTATCACTTGTAATCCTTATTTTATCCCTTTTTTCTGTTTCCTGGCCTTCCTTTCACCACTTTGCCTCCCTTTCTCTGAACTAGTCCCATGCCAAGAGAACAACCCATCCCTGATTACTTTTTCCCTGCTGGTCCCAGATGTGCTACTTCTGTACCCAAAGTGGGTACTTCTGATGCTGTTACCTAGGCTTTCTCAGCTTTGCATGGTGTTGCCGATGCCTGGGTGCTGTTGGCTTTGCAGTATTTTGCTCCCCAAAATGTGCCCCATACTCCCCTCCAGCTGATTGTGGCATTTGGCAGTTTCTTCCCTAACTTCTCCATGCCCCTCCCCATGAGATCCAACCATCCCCCACGGCACTAAGTGACTTTTGTCAGCTTCTCACATTAGTGTTTGTTTGACATTTTCTCATGTCATGTCCTTCCATGTCCTCTTCAGTTTAACCTCAAATCAGGGCCTGCTCAAGGGCTGCATTATTAACAAAATGCATTTGCAAAGATGGAAGGATTGTTCAAGATTTGCTGCAAGCACATACAGCTTGGCAGTTAAGAATCTTTTTTGACTTTTCAAGAGCTTGATCTTGGTAGTCCTTACATAAATCAGATAACTTAGAAATTGATATTGTACTGTATTTTTAAAAAATTATCCATTATAAATTCAAAAATTATTTTAAGTGCAGTTTATGGAATGCCATTTTTAATCCCCTTAGAACTTAGTAAGTCCAGTCACTGGGATCTGCTGTGTGGCTGGAGATCTCAGGTGTGTGTGGGCAGAGGAAAATACCTAATTCATATACAATGCAGAGTTGATGTTCTCTAAAAAAATAATTTGAAGAGCATTTCTTTTGCTGGCAAGACTCCTTGCCCCTCTTGCTTATTCTGACTTGTGTACAATTGCTTGGGCAGCTGAGCATAAAGAGAATTAGGGAGTGCAGGCAAGTAGAAATGAGAAGGGAGCGGCAGAGCTGTAATGATTGATTAGGTCAACCAGGCTACTGAAAAATGCTTAGCAAACTGTAGGCTGAGCATATCAGATGTCACAAAAAAAAATGTGACATCAAATGAGAAAAATATTGAAGCAAATAATTCCCTAAGCAGAGGTAATAAAGCCAACCTCTCAAGAGCCTGTGGTTAGATTCCTTGATGTCTAATAGAGCCCATGCTCTGTGTCAGGGGTTTTCACCTGACAGGGGCATTTATAATAATCTTTTTCCAATATCAATTTTGTGATGCCTCATGAAGGCTGCAGCATGAATACAGCCCTTACCTTCTTATGGTGATACTGATTGGAACAGGTCTACAACCAGGCCACTTAAGTTGGCCCAGAAAAGATAGTAAATTTTTGTTTGGTCAAATTAGGCTGGAATTTGATCACTAGTAAAAAGTTACCGGGAAATGTCTTTGATATACTCACCTGTGTGGGCAGAGCCATTCACAAATGTAGACAAATGATGTAAACTTCATTTCCATAGGAAATCAGATAAAACACCCAATCTGAAACAGATTTTATTTTTTAGCAGTATTTTTTAAAACTCACTTTTCTTGGTGAGTTGTAAAAATAAATCATATCCAAATATAAATTGCTAATCTCCTGCATGGTTTTAGAATATTTACAATAATGTTGCTTTTTAGAGAATGACATTATAGATAAAATAATTCAAAATATTCCATGGTATTCCTTCAACTTTATTTTTTGATCCTCTAATAAAGACAAGTATTGACTTCATGGATTGCTATATTATAGTAGTGTAGAAGCTGTTACTGATATTCTGCTGTCAGACTGATCAGTAATATGGACTGTGGTAACAGCATGATGTGGAGAGGGATTCTTATGTCCTCATCTTGACGATTGATAATTTAGTGCTGAACATTTGGTTGGATGATATATCCTTAAACCATTTTATTATAGGGTGGCCGGTTTGTTGAAATATTCAGTGCTCAAGGCAAAAACCCAGGAGCAAAATGGAAGATTTTTGGCAATCCATCAGCTATATGGAAAGTAAGTTTTTAAAGAAACTTATAAAACCTAGAGTATAAACCAGAAAAATGTGAATGAAGCTTAAAATTAGAAGGTAATGAGGGCTTTGACCTGACAGTGGAGTTGTCACTTGCAGTTCTGTCATTATGACAGACTAAATGACTACTTAAATTAGTTCTTTATGCCTGCTTGCAGACTAGGTTGGTCACAGTGTAATTTTATAGTTTAAATATTTACTAAGTAATTTTGCTATTCTGGTAACTCACATTGAGTCGTGAGTCCTGTTTGTCAGCATTATTTGTTCATAAAACATGCAAGTAAAGGATATACTTACATGGATTATATTATTGCTATCAAATTTGAACTACTTTCATACTTGCAGTGCCATCTGCCATTTCTAATTTTTAAAAGAAATAGCTTTGCATGTTGGTAGCATGGTTGGTTGTCAAGAAGAGAATTCTCTCAGGATGCTTATGTTTGTTGTTCCTTTTCGTAGGAATATGACAAAGAACTAAAAGGCTTTGTTTTTGTACTTGAAGGAAGCAGTCAGGTCAACAAAATGCAGCTACCAAAGGAAACTAGACAAACTTGTAAGTATCAAAGAATTAAATGTTTGTGATGTTTTTCTGATTATTACCTCAGTCTTATACTGGAATGTATAACTTACAGTATTCTCCCTTGGTTCAGGGGTAATTCAGCATTAGAAAACTGGGGGTTTTTCATTAACTTTGAGCAGGTCACTTACAAATAAGTAAAAGGTATAGAAATGCCATATTAAAATAAATGCTGTAGGGAAGATCCTTATTTATACATGTTGTCCTGGTGCCACCAGATTCAGTTCTGTACCTGATCCTGCTACAGACCAATGTCTGATAAACAACTTGTGAGTCCATTCAGTGCTTACTAAAGTCAATAATTCTGCTGTCATTACAGAATGTGAAGTAGGTTCCTGTCCCCTTTCTCATTTTACTTTTCAAATTATTTTTACTTTGTTGTATCAAACGAGCACACTGGCAGAAAGTTTCGAATTGTCATTCTTTAGAAGAAGAGCCAGTGTTGGTGTTGAGTCTTGTTAAGTCAATGAAGAGCAGCCTGTACCCTCCCTGATGGAATAACTAAGAAAACAACATATGGTTCAATCCAGACAGTTTTGTACTGTTTTCCCTTGATAGGGAGCTACCTGAATTTTTTTGTTGGTTCCCTCAGTCAAGCTCATTTGCTGTTACTCTTAAAATCAGAAGGCTCCACTGAGCAGTGTTGTCATGATCTGATTACATTCTTACCCAAGGGTTTTTTGAAGTTGTTTAACAAGGTGTACATTGTCACAAACAGGAGTGCGAGTTTCATATGACTATAAGATAATCTTGATAGGGAAATATTACTTCATTTTATAATTCTTATGGGATATTTGTTGTCTACATGCTCTTGGAACACGAGAGTCGTAAGTTGAAAAAAAAAGTTCCTTTTGTTTTCATGAGAATTCCACCAAAGCCACAGATGGGACTTTTAAAACAACATTTTTATTGCAGTTTAAATTGGTTTTCTTCGGGTTTTTCTTGTGTTCGCATGTTGTGTGAACCTTGGGAAATAGTGTTGCAGGAGCCACAAAATTGAAATGCTTTATAGTGAAACATGCATCTGCATGCACACAGCATATATATTTAATTTTTTTTTCCCTATTTCTAGTAGGACTGATCCAGCAATTTCTGACCCTTCAGATTTTTGTACCATTGGGAAAAGACTTTTCCACTGAGTTGCTGTAAGTTGCACAAATTTTCCTTGAAGACTTAATGTAAAGGGAATGCCTGATTGCAGTCATTAATTTTAGTGACATATTTTGCATTAAAGCACAGTGACTTATCAAGTCAATAAGAAGTAATTAAGCTAATGAGATCATTATTTCTTGGATGTTTTAAATACTGACATTCCTTTGAAGACAGAACAAACTCTAAAAATCCTGAATGAAGACAGTGAAAAATCTGAAGAAATGAGACATAAATTTACCAAACATATGAAAAATACTGGCTCATGAGGGCTTTCTGAAAATTTGTGAGAGATTTATAACTATTTCAGGGCCCCTTGGTTCAGGGCAAAAAGAAATATATATTCCAATAACTGGGGGAGAAAATCATGACCAAACAAATGGTAAAAAGCTAGAACAAGTGGAGTGCTCAGCTGGTATAATTATGTCCATATTGTAAAGAAAGAGAGGTACAGCTGAATTTTTATTAGTTCAATATGGAATGATTTAATAGAGTTTTAAACTTGGGCAATTGTCAGACTTTGGACAACATTTCTCTCCTACTGACACCATCCATTTTTATGTAAGCAGCACAACTCAGCTTTGTAGCCAGTAGAACACCTAGGAGTTGAATTAACAAAAGAAATATTGGGCCTTAGAAGCCCTGCAAGAAAAGATGGGTTGAATAATATGTAAAGTCAAAGAAGGATTTTATTTTTGTTTGTCTTTCTGTAAGTTTGCAAGTAAAGTGACAAAACAAACAGGATATGTCCTGTAGTAAACAGAAACCAAGTACATAGATTTGCTTCTGGTGGACATTCTCTAGGCAAAAGACAGAGATTTAATGAGCTGGTACAAATCCCAATTTTCTCTTCTTATGTGCAGTGATTTCAATGTCTGTGGGGATGAAGTAATCCCACTTACTACACTTCCATATACTTTTTACAAAAGAATTGATGTTTCATTTCTTCTGTTTTAATAAAGTCATGCTTACCCTGATGATTCCATAAGTTCATAAATTCTTTAAGTTGCTCATTATTTTGAATATGTATCTATCTTATATATATATATAATATATATCTTAAAAGTACAATGTCAGTTGTTCCCCACTTAGTGCAACTATTTGAAAAAGTTAATAAAACGTCTTTAAAAATAGTTTTATTACTAACTTTTGGGTTTGAAATCAACTGTAATTTATGGATGTACCTATAAAGTCCTTCAAGCCTTGCAGAATAGGAAGTGCACTATTTCATCTTAGCAGACTTATGATAATACAGTAAATAATTAAAACAAGTCCTTGCTTCATGTGACTGCCATTCAGTTCCTTTCTTTTCAGATGTTTTGGAAGAAATCTCTTGCTTGTTTGTGTACAGAATGTTGGTTGTGTTGTTCCTGCCTAGAGTTTAATGTTCAAAGGTGGTTTGTTACATAACCTGGCTGCTTACTACTGCAGCTTTGGGCAGCTTCAGCTAAAATTGATAGTGTACTAAGCCATGAAATTTGCTTTATGTAAAAAACACTCTGGAAAGTTTTGTAGTAGCTGCATATGATGCTTTATGTTACATATCTTGCTCTCATATCCTGCACAGAGATGGAAATGGTATTTAGTTTAAGCCTCATCCTTTTTTGCATTCTGTTCAGTGATTGATCTGGTCAGCAAACAAGAATTCCTTCAAGGCCATCCATCACTGCTGCCATCAGATGACATAAACCTTCTAACTTGCTGCTATCAACCAGTCATGCAAGATTCCTGTCACAAATACTGAATGTGCAAACTACTGTTTACATTAGCTGGCTTATCTTTTCTTTGGAAGAAATTTAAGGAGAATTTTAGATACTTTGTTAGGTGGCATGATTAGGTGAATATCACCACATTAACAATCAATGTATTGATCTGCCTAAAAAATGTGTGAAATAGATTGTGGATGAAGAATTTGGTGAAGCATAATAAAATCACAATTAAGGTAGAGAGCATGTAATTTATGCAGCCTCTTTGGAGCAAATAATAGCAAAGCTATTAGTAATGCTGAAAATAGCTGTCTGCTCTAAATGCAGTAGCCAGTTGTTAAATCCTCGGTATTATGGATTTTTTTTTTTTACCTTTCTTAAAAAGCAAAGGTAACTCAACGTTTGAAAGAATATTTGTGTGTAATAGAAAACAGCATCTGGCTTGTGTTGCCATTCTTACTTTAATTCCCAATATATAGACCATGTGGTTGTTGGCAGTTCTGCTCAGCATTTTGACAAGCATATGAACATTTGTTCTTCTTACAGTACTGTAATGCCAGTCATTGTCATACTTTATTTCTGATATGTGATACCCAAGCTGAGAAGCTTGTTTTAATAAGTTTTACAGCAAATGGTTAGAGCTATTGATCTGAGAAGACAGACCTTGAAATTGTACCACAGCCTCAAAAAAAAAAAAAAGAAAAAAAGCGTAGGCTGGAGTGATGTATGAACAAGGATCAGGCACTCAATTTCTGGTTATGCACTGAAATATTATCTGGTCTTGTCTGAGTCCCTGTAGGTTGCTCAGCCTTTTTTCTCCCAGTTTTCTCATGCAAGATACGAGAATATTTGTCAATTTATTTTGAAAATATATTACAACTAGTTAGTTAACTCAGTGTATGATACTTTTAAACATAGGAAGGATAAAAATAAGAATGGTAGTAAATTTTAAAATCTGATGGTTGATCAAGTACAGTTTCATTGATATGCAAGCTAGTGTGTGATGATAGTACAGATTTAATATTTGATGTTTTATTCTATTGCTGAATTGAGGCCAGTTAAGGGAGAGAGCATTTTGTATGAAAAAAGACAAGTTTTCCAGTTTTGCATTTGGGCATCCAGACAGGACAGCAGATAGTAACAACAAAATGTGGTGAAACTACAAAGTGATCCAACATTAGTGGCAAAAACAGGTGTGGTGCTTAGTGACCCCTGGCTGCAGCTCCAAAGTCATGCTGCCTCTCTCACTGGTGGCCAGTTCACAGTCTTCAAACTGCTTTAAATCTTGGGTTGGCAAACAGCTGTAAATCACATGTGGCATAATTTGTAAAGCTGGGAAGGTCTGAGACATCATATAAGATCCCCTCATCTCTGTGATGTGAAAACTTGCACAGCAAAAATACACAGTCAGTGAAAACTGCTTCCCAGTCAGAGTCCTGCTTCCGAATCCCAGACTTGGTGCTTGATATTAGCATGCCATGGGGCTCTGCTGTGTTGCCACTTCCTAGAATTACTCAGTACCTTATGGACCATGTTCTGAGTCACAGCATGGTTGCTCATTCACTCTAATGGCATCTATGTCTCTTAATTCTTCATGATGTTTCAACCTTTTGTTCACTTGGCCAAGCGTGTATCAACAGGTTTGCTCAGTTAGTATCCCACTGTTCGTAATCAAATTATCTTTGCTTGCCACTAGCTTTTGCCAGCTCCAGAAGGCATCGGCTCTTGTTATATTCTGAATTAATGCGAACTCTGTGAGAGTTTCAAACTCTGGAACATATCTAAGTTTAAGAGGTTTTCTGCTGAAGTTTAGCTAGTTATGGATAGAGGAATCTGTAGAGAAAAAGGGGTTAAAAATGTCTGTATTCCTAAAGTAGTTGTGCTTGTTGATAAGAAATGTTATTGCAAGGCTTGTGAGCAGTATAGTAGAATCTATATTTTTGTACCATATTTCCTGTTTTCAAACAGTTGTTTCTATAAATATAAGTTTATTACATTGAGATTTTTAATAACCACAACATACTAGGTTTTACATGCATAGCTAATTTATTCATAGATACCGTAACAGCTTGAATTTATGTGAATTAGATGCTATCATAATCAGTCATCATTTCAGCTTTGCTGACAGAGATACCATAAATTATTCATGTTAACCTAAAGACCCAGCATGTTTTCGGATACAGAACAATAAATATATGAATCTTGGTTAGTCTTGCAAAACTTAGAGCAACCTCTTTAGATTTGAAGTAAGACACAGATGCTAATTCTATTACGTGTGTCTGACATTATTTGAAGATTTTAGATAGAGACTGGAAGTAAACTCTATTGAATTGATTTAGCTGGAGAGATTCTGGTGTTTAGTAGCATGACACTTGTTCCTTGAATTTTTTGTGAAGCAGGAGTGAAATACAGAAAAGTATTAGAATATGTTAAATCCCATCATTTATGAAGATTAACTCATATTTGAAAGTAAACATTTTTTGATAACTTCAGTCATCACTTTGACCAGAGTACAAGCACAGCATGGGTAGTAATTTAGGAAACAGGTATCCAAAAAAAAGGTATAAATGTATCCTATGAACAGGGTGTCCTGCTTCCAGATATAAAAGTTTCATGCAATTTTATAGAAGTGATAACAAAATACACCATCCTAGTTTAAAATTATTAATTATTATTATTTAAAATTATTTAGATTAGACACTTGGTCTGAAAGAAGACAGATATCTTCTTTCCCCCTAGTCAGGACAAATTTGTTACCCTCATTCTGTAAGTATTTCTAATTTCTCACATTTGATGTGTTTCTTTGCTTCTGCAACTATAAAACTGTTTAAAGTCGTATCAATAACTTCATTGTTCATTGAATTAATCAATATAAAACATCAAGTGTGGAGAAAGATTTTTGTGCTGTTGATCTTCAGTTCTGGAACTTGCACACATCCAAATTTACTTTCTGCTTGTTGAAGGAGTCTTTTTTCCTTGGCCCTGGACCTTCTTCAGAAGTCTGTACTTGTTCTTTTTCCTTCACAATAATCAATACCTCTGACTACTACCTAAAATGTTTTGTTCTTTGAGTGCCTCTTAACAGTTTAATTATCAGTTCATCTTTCTCCAGTACATCTTTAGACCATCTGGATTTTCATGGAAGTGTTCCTTTCTCTGCCTTTCTTGAGTCCATAGGTGTGCACACCACTTGAGGGGGATCTTTCTTTTCCAGCAGCGTTTCTTTCTGTATTTGAATGTGCACCCTGTCTGTGCACAGTGTCGGTCAATTGTGCTTTAGTTCAGAAAGG